ACAAACTTCGAAGGGGAACGAAAACCAACAAAAGAACATAGGATGAATTGGCGCGACATTTATTTCACGATCTTAAATATAGTTTTAATTTTTTTAAATATTGTTTATAAAAAGATCACAACCCAATTTACAGGCCTATCAATTTTCAGAGTTGTGGAGTCATCCTTCTGAGCGCGAAAAATCGCAGAAGTTGGGGTACTTTTCCCGTTGGCCGTCACATGATACAGCAGCAAACGACCCCAAAAAATGAATATAGGACGAATTGGCGCGGCATTTATTTCATACAAAGATCACGACCCACTCTACAGGCTTGTTAATTTTCAGAGTTGTGGAGTTATCCTTCTGAGCTTAAAAAATCGGGGAAGTTGGGGTACTTTTCTCGTTGGCCAACACGTGCAAGAATGACAAAAATGGACAGTGCAACTAAACGGCGCAACATTTATTTCACAGTCTAAATCTTTTTTATTTTTATTTTTGGATATTTTTCCTAGAAAGATAACAACGGTTGAGCTTTGGGGGATCTGTCCAAGATGGAGGGCAAAGGGCATGAGATGACTCTTTGTGAGGACGGAGAGAGGGTTGCATCGGGGCTATCTGAGGGGTACCAGTTAGGGGAACCTTCATTGGATGCGATTGGTGTCGGGCAACTTTGGTTGTCGGATGGGTACCGGCTGATGAGGGTTTACTCTGGTGCGATTGGCCTCAAGTCACTCCCTCGAAGACGGAGACTGGAATTTTTGAGGGGGCAGGAGATTGCAGGATGAGGATTGTGCCTGACTCTTGCTGAGGACATGGTCTTTCAAACTCTTTACTAGGATGGAGCTGGGGAGGTGAAGGGGGGACAGGCGAGAGGAGGTTCTGTTGGGTTTCGGGGGATCTGTTCAAGGTGGAGGGCAATGGGCATGGGATGACTCTTTGTGAGGACGGAGAGAGGGTTGAATCAGGTCGTCTGAGGGGTACCGGCTGGGGGATCTTTCATTAGATGCGATTGGCATCGGGCAACTTTAGTTGCCTGATGGGTACCGGCTGATGAGGGATCATCTTGGTGCGATTGGCCTCAGGCAGCGCTGACTTACCCTCTCGAAGACGGAAACTGGAATCTCCGAGGGGGCAGGAGATTGCAGGATGAGGATTGTGTCTGCTCGTGCTGAGGATATGGTCTTTCGAACCCTTTACTAGGATGGAGTTGGGGAGGGTGAAGGGGGTTCGGATGGGGGTGGTTGAGAACGGATGCGATTGGCATTGAGCGGAGTCTCGATGGGTACCAGCCGTGGTCAGCTGCCTTCATTAGAACGTACCCGGGACCTCCCTTTCTATAACGAAGACAGAACTGTTGCACTTGTTGGGTCTTCCAGGACCTCCCTTTTGATGACGAAGACATAACTACTGCACTTGTTGGTCTTTGGGACCATAGTCCATCATCTGTTCACTTAAGGTCTCTTAACTTTTTCAATCTGTTTTTGGAAAAAGGATGGTGGGGTATCACGCGTCCTTCTAGTGAGTGGGCTAGCTGGTAGGATGGGAATAGAGACAGCAGCAGCAGAGATGGTGGCTCTGCTGTAGTAAGTCTTGCTGGAGTGGGTAGCAGGGGATTGATTGGGGGGTCTTAGTTTTTTTCTGAAAAAAGAGAGCTCTTAGGAACCTCAAATAGCGAATACGGCGAGTAGGAGAAGATGGTGGGTTATCACGCGTCATCTGTTCACTTAAGGTCTCTTAACTTTTTCAATCTGTTTTTGGAAAAAGGATTGTGGGGTATCACGCATCCTACTAGTGAGTGGGCTATCTGGTAGGATGGGAATAGAGACAGCAGCAACAGAGATGGTGGCTCTGTTGTAGTAAGTCTTGCTGGAGTGGGCAGCAGGGGATTGATTGGGGGGTCTGAGTTTTTTTCTGAAAAAAGAGAGCTCTTAGGAACCTCAAATAGCGAATACGGTGAGTAGGAGAAGATGGTGGGTTATCACGCGTCCTACCAGTGAGGGGGCTAGCTGGGAGGATGGTAGTATGGTATAGCAGCAGCAGAGATGGTGGCTCCGCTGCAGTCAGTCTTGCCGGAGTGAGGTGAAGTGGATTGATGGGGGGTTAATGGGAGTTCTTCTGAGTCGTTTCTGAAAACTTTTCCGCACTACCAGGCCGCCGTCATTGAAGACGGACTGGGCAGTCCAAGCTGTTGAAAATAACGGTCAGATTTATGGGGAGCCTCTAAGTTCGCCGGGATCCGAATTTGGCGGGTGCAGGAGTAGCAAGGAACCTGTTTTCGCGCGGCTTGTATCAGTGTGCCTCGAAGGGGTTAATGTGGGCTGCCGACGGTGACAACAGCCGTGTCCCTTATTTTCGGCAACCCCCATGAACCCCTTGAAGGGCATTTCAGAGGGCGAGCAATTTCTCGCATCCACAGTCCTTTCGCAATCAACTCACACTCGAAGATCCAAGCGCCACGCAAAGGACGGATAGATTCGCGTCGATCATCAAAGTCCGCCAGGATCCGAACTTGGTGGATGGCGTTTGCACAGAAGCAGGCGTTGCTCGGGCGCACCGCAATTTGGGGCGCCGATGAACGAAGACCTACCGCACACCGGAAATGGAGCCGGCCAGCGACACCGTCGTCAACCCCAATAAACCCCGTTCAGGGGCAACTTACAAGGCGAGCAATTTTGCGTAATACCAGGCCGCCGGCATTGAAGACAGACGGAGAAGTCCAAGCCATCGAAAACAACGCTCAGATTCATGTGGCGCCTCGAAGCCCTTCGGGATCCGAATTTGGCCGGTGCGGGAGTAGCAAGGAACCTGTTTTTGCGCGGCCGGTGTCAGTGGAACGGAGCGCCAGCGGGTGCACACAAGGAATGCTATCCTTCGCCGCACAGAAGGAAGGCTCTGCAGCTCTCAAGCTGTCGTTGAACGTTAGCACACGCAGAGCAAAGGGCAGCGGTGGATGCACCAGCACAAAATCGGGCGCAGCGTGACCCCAAACTGCCCCCTAGGGCAAGAGTTCATCGAGATCGGACATCCTAACCCCGCAGACAAGAAATATGTAGAAACTGATGAAAGACCCCCCCCTGCAACCCTTCCAAACCCCGATTCGGCCAGTCGACAAGGCGACCCCCGATTCGCGCGCCGGTAACGTCGACGTGCGAAAGCGCGAACCGGAAACCAGGCAGAAACACGAGCATGTGTGCGACAAGAATCCGCGCACCGGGACGGTCAAAACCCTCTGGGGGCAACAAAGATCGACGGCACATAGACAAGGGACATGGCCGCTATCACCGTCGGCAACCCCGACAAACCCCTCGAAGGGCATCTCAGAAGGTGAGCAATTTTTCGCACCCACAGTCCTCGCGCAATCAACTCACACTTGAAGCTCCAGGCCTCATGCGAGCACTTTTGGGTGCCCGAAGGCCTCTTGTAATTAGAACGCACTCGACAGCCGTGGCCGTCGAAAACGGCGGTTAAATTCATGCGGGACCTCAAAGTCCGCCGGGATCCGAACTTGGTGCTTGCTGGACTGGCCAGGAACCGGTTTGCGCGGGGGACGACGGATATTTGGATGACCGGTGTGGAATTGCACAGAAGGAACGCTAGGCTTGGCTGCATGTTCAGGGAGGCCCTGCTGCTGCTCACAAGTGTTTGTTCCGACAAAGCACACAGAACAGAAATGCTCGTCGCGGGTGCACCACGTCGGAAATTGGCGCAGCGCGGCCCCCAATAGACCCCCATGGACCCCGATTATCCTCATCGACAAAGCGAACAGTCATGCAACCAGGACTCTGAAAAGATCCATGCAAACCGTAAGCGTCTTATTTCAGCGACGCGGTCGAAACAACAATAATCATCCGAGCAGCCCGCGACTTCGTATGCTTCAGATTGCAAGTCCGTCAGGATCCGAACTTGGTCGCACGCTGAAAACTGGCATGGCGTTATGAACTATCGACCCAACGCCCGAAAGGTGGGAACTGTGTCCCGCAAAACATAGTCATCAGGGCAACCAGGGATGACATTGTGACCGCGAACGCAAAACCAACAACCGCGAAAAAAATGGGAACTTCGGATCCCGTCGAACTACAACAAGTTCGTCGGGATCCGAACTTCCCATCTCGCCAGGCAACCACACGCCACGCGCCGTTTTTCGTTTGGCTATTGTTGGTTTCGAGCTTGCGGTGACAATGGCGGCCCCCCTTGCCCCGATGACTGAGACGTTTCCCGGAGGCGGCCGGATTGTTCGTTACCGAACGAGGACATGTTTTCGTGTCGAGGTTGTCGTCACGAAACATGCGGCGCTCACGCCGAAGAAACGCCATCGTCATTGCAGCGAGCGGCGCAGACGTTCTCCATCGCGCGCACACAACGTGTGCGTCCTTCGTTCTGGAGCCCGCGGATGTTGCACGCACAGTCCTGGCATTTGTCGTGCGGAATGCGATATCGCATCCCTCACGACCAGCACCAGGAGGGCGCGCTCAACATCCATGGCCTCTATGGTGGATCATGTGCACGATGTGTGCGCGGGATGGAGACGACAGCAACTATTTCGGGATTGACGCCATAGTCTCTTCGGGGAGGGAGGTTCAAGTTTTGCGGCGAGAACACAAATACAGAACGACGACCCCCTCCTGTTTATGAATACCTTACCTCTCACTGCACGCCACGTGGCAGCGGACATCCTTCCCACCGTTGCCACCGCGCGACACTTAGTACCAACAGCGGTCGCGCGCAGCCCATGCGTCTCCTTTGTGATAATTAACCTCTAATCTCTTTGTTGAGAACAACAAACAAGCGAGGGAAGTGTTTCGAAGGGGTTTCGTGTTCCGCTGGGAATAGGCGATTTCGTGTTTGCCTCGACCGCGCGGGAGTGGTTTGCAATGCCCAACTTGTGATCAAGGATAATTTTTCTTCAATGCCAAGCCAAACAAGAGTCGTGGGGGCGGTCCCGTCGAACGAATGAGAGAGAAGCATAACGGGACACGCAAACCGTGTGCCCCGATGCCCACGTCATCCGTTCCCGCCGTCCCAGCCACTTGCAACTCGTGGCACGACAGGAGGACAATGATGACGACAGTGATGAACACGATGATAGTGACGATTACGGTGGTGATGTTGATCTGGGCGACGATGTCGATGACGATGATGACGATGTTGATGACGATGATGATGTCGATGATGATGTTCGTGATGACGACGATGATGATGATGACGATGATGACGGCGATGATGACGATGTTGATGATGGCGATGAAAACGAAGAGGACGATGGCGGTGATTTCGATGATGGCGACGATGTCGCTGATGATGATGATGTTGTTGATGACGTTGATGATGTTGATGATGTTGTCGATGATGATGACGATGTTGATGACGTTGACGAGGTTGATGATGATGTTGTTGATGATGATGATGGTGTTGATGAAGATGATGATCACGATGACAATGATGGTGATGATGGTGATGATGATGATGATGATGAAGATCATGACGGTGATGGTGGTGGCGACGATGATGGTGATAATGGGGGCGATGATGATGATGATGATGATGGCAAGCAAGAATCACGGGGCCGCTCGCGACTTGAAACAAGTGGCGCGACGCGGCCGCTCCCATGGGCCGGCAAACATGCCTGACACGAGGGCAGGCAGAACAACACTTTACCTTGAAGAGGGCACAGCGCACACGATGGCGCTGCTCTTTGACGGCTCACAGTTCTTCGAGGAGGTGCAGTTCTTCGACGACGGCGAAGCGGACATGATGGCGCAACTGTTCGACAAGGGCTTAGCGCAAACGGCGTTGGCCACTTGCCGACGCAGGACGCAGAGACAAGATGTCGAAGCGGAGACAACCGAACCACAGACGACAGTTGTCGACGAGAGGAAGCCCTTGCGCCCACACCCGTCGCCGCCTAGCGCAACAGCGGAGCATAAAAGGCTATGGAGGATGTCGTTGAGGGGACGCCGAGCGCGAATGCGCTCGCCGGGATCGAGATGCGAAAGGGCTGCCCCAGACCCGAGGCAGTTGAGCGTCAGACTGTTGTCGCACCCCATGGAAAGACCCGCCTGTGTCCCCCCGTTCGGATTTCGGTGAACTTGTCCTTCTCAAGCGACCTTTTGTGTTAGTGCGGCCTTTCCAGATTGTCGTTCAGTCCAATCTGTGTTTGCCTGACGCCGTCTCTGCCTGTCGCATTTTCCTGAAGTTCGGATCCCGGCGAACTTCACGTTTCGATGGGTGCGTTGGTTCGGCTTCGGACATGCACTTTTAGTACGGATCTCGACGAACTTCACGTCCTGAACTGTCCGGGTTCCTATTGCTAAATGGACGACACTGCCCCGTCCAACGCGGGCTTTGTGCGTCACCACCCGTCCATTCCCGATCGGGTAGACATCCGTGTTCCGGAAAAAACCCACATGGTTGTCGCCCGGCTGCATGAAGCGTGTGCCCTTGTAAAGAATGATCTCGTTGCAGGTGAGAGGTCATTGCTGGTCTTCGCGTTAGAAGTTCGCCGGGATCCGAACTTCGAGGTCCTCAGATAGCGTCGTGTGACTGACGTGTTGAGGGCAAGGTGTGCCTCCTCTGTTTTTCGCCTGCGTTGTGCTTTGACTGCGATTTGACGCTCGTTGGTGTTTTATTTGCTTTCCGTTGTCGTCCGCAGACAATATGTCTTCGTCCAGGGGCGAAGGGGAGCCTGCAGCGACCTCCGGGATGGGATCTGGAAAATATTCTACAAAACGGTCGTCCACGACCTCAAGGATGTGGTCCGACCACGCTAGGTCGAAATGGTTCGTCGACTGGTGCTGTGCTGATGCTACGAACCCAGTCCAACAACCGTGTGGTCCTGTGATCTTCGTCGAAGCCAACAAGTGCCGCAGGGTTCGGGGGTCTGTCTTGCGGTGGGAGAATGCGAAAGGCAGTCGTCGACAGTTTTACATGAAACATGTGTACGGTTCGAAGGGGAACGTCGTCGCAGGTGCCAAGGGGTCAGTTCTCGACATGTGTCTGTTCGAGGGGTTCGGAGCGGGTGCTGCGAACACCCCGTTCTACAACGACCTCCGGCGGCAGGGCAAGTTTGTTTTGGGTCGAGAGTTCTTCGACCTGTTGGAGGACAAGGGCATCGCCCTCGACGTCCCTTGCGAAGTCGGTCCCGACCTGGAACTTCGATGCCTTTGCGGCCGTGCGGCGGTTGTGAGTCGAGCGGGGAGGGGGGTGATCTGGGTTCCGGGGAGGCTACACGTGCAGCGGGAGGATGCCAAAGGTCAGTTTGACGACAGCGAAGATAAGGGGACACCGCATCCGCCGTTTTCGCCGTCAAGGGAAAGAGACAGGTCCGTGCTCTCCATACCTGGGGTCCGGCAACAGACCGCAGCGGATCCCGGAGAAGAGGGAGTCCTGTGTGGGTCTGACTTGGATCCCGCCGAGGGCCATGGCGCGGAAGGCGAGGCCGTGGGTGGGGAGGCAGCACAGGGCACTCCCTTGAAAAGGAGGGGAGAATGTCCAGAATAGTTGGTGGGCTCTTCGAAGAAACAGAAGACCAAGACCCCGAGGACTGCGGGAGAGAAACGGAAGGGGAGGGGGGTGGAAGAGGGCCACCTGGGTAGCAAATGTCCAACTTCGAAACATAAACAGCCTGAGTTGGGACCTTCTTCACCACGGTCTGCTATCGACGTGGACGCCGGGTACTTCCTGGAGTACAAAGACGGCGTCAGGACAAGGCGGGAGTTTGAGATAAGCCCGGCTCAGATCGTTGACATAAGGGAGTGGGAGGATCTTTACAACCAGCGGTCGCTAGATCCCGTCCTCATGGAAACGATAAGGGAAGCAATGCGGTTTGCGTTCGAAAATAAAGAACAGACGTACGAGTTGCCGGTCTTCAAGCTCGCACGACTGGGGCTTCAAAAACCAACTCCTGGAACCAAGGCACAACGTCTGAAGCCAGAGGAGTGGAAGGATGAGGTGGCGGGAGAATACTACTATTACGCAGTATGCGGGCAGCACAACGCGGCTGCAGCCAGGTCGCTGCTCGGCAGCGAGGTGGCCAAGAAGTACAATTTCGAGCGGTGGCCGACACGGATGGTGTACTTTTCCGACGATGACTTCGAAGGGTATTTTCTTGTTAGTTCACAGGACAACAAGAAGGACCTGAAGGCGCCTCCCAGATAGTTGAAACTTTCTATGAAAGACATTCGATGGCAGTGGAAGCATGACGGCTGCCTGAGAGCTGTGATGGGGAACCCTAGCAGGAAACAAGATCAGGTCCGGGCTTGGCGTAAGTTTTGTACAACGACGCTCCATAAGGCGCCTCAAAACAGCTTGTGGCTTCTCGCGGATCAAAAGGAAGAGGAGGTCATTAAGAAGCAAAATGTTGCCCTGCATTCTTACTTACCTCTGGCGATGGCCGGGGAAAATGTCTGGAAACTAGTCGTGGAATTTTTCAAAAAATGGGAGACGGGCAGAGTGCTGAGCCACGATGGGACGAAGTGGACCGTCAAAAAGAAGAAGGTCAAAAACGTAAAGTCTGGGGTCGCCTACATCCACAACGAAAAATTGGGCGGAACGGAGGTGGTGTACAACGTCCCCGTGGACCCGCCGAATAAAAAGGGCAAAAAGGAGAAAGAGGAGGACGATTGGTTCGTGCAAGTGCCAGACCCGGACGCGCATTGTTGGAAAGCAATGGAATCACTCACGGACAATGAGAAGTGTCGCGTTATGAAAAAGGTGCTTGCTTGCGAGGTCGTTTGGGTCCAGGCCAGCTCCCCGTCATTGGAGAAGTTAGGAAAGCTCAGCGTGCAGGACATGGTTCAGCTGGTGAAGTGCGACCGCGTGCTGGTCCGGTTGTGGAATAACTACCAATTCAAACACGAGAAGAGGTCGGACGCGGACTGGATCCTAAGGTACCCTTTCCTGAAATCAAGGTCTGCCGTGTTCAAGAAGTTTGAAGGTCAGGGATTGGATGACGAGTTGTGGGATAACAGCAAGAAACACGTTTTCGACTCGGCGCTGTTGAAGGACTGACGACCGTACATGGGTTGCGACCAGGAAAACTCGATTGAGGTGATGGAGAAGTTGGCGGGCTACAAGAAGTTGTTCGTCGACTGGAGAAACAAGGTTCTCTCCGTGTTGAATGGAAGCAGACTCAAGAGTCGGGAAGTCGCACTTGCCGAAGGCATCGTTCACATTAAATGGAAAGACACGGGGGACGTGACATCCATCGCGCCATTCGCCAACGACCCTTTAGAGGCGGACATCAGGGGCGCAGAGCTGAAGGAGGCAGTGGCTGCCACAAAGAGCCACATGTTCGTCCTAGATCTGTGCGAGCCGGTTGACCTCAAACTGTGGAAGCCCCAAGCGTGGGAGACTTTGAATTCCTATCTTCAGACGTGGTGTCCCTCGCATTGGACTCTCGTTGTTTTCGTGCCGCGGCAGCACAACCTGTCGTTTCTCGCCAGCATGCACCATCTATCTTTCGTCAAGCTGTTGGAAGGGAAGTGGGTGCGGAAAGTGCAGCGAAAAAAAAGTTTCCCCGTTGGGAACAATTTGTACACGGAGGAAGACCGCATGTACATCCTCTTCAAGGGTGACGATTTGCGCGTCAACACGTCCGTGGTCTACGAGGGAAACCTGCCCACGGGTGCCGCTGCTGCGGTGCGATTGCCTCAGAGGGTCACCCAGACGGATGTGTCCGAGATTCCTTTCACGCCTTGCGACTGCTGGCTGGTGGCGCCTGAACGACAGGGCAGCGTCTACGGGGATATGGAACGCAATCCGACCCAATTCGTCGGTCTTCTTGATTTTGTTGGCAAGAAGGGAGAGGGTGTTGTGTTCCTTTGGAAACCACATGCGCGAAGCGTCTGGGAGCTTCTGAAGGCCGGCCGACACGTTGTTGCAATGGAAGGGGACTCCGACCTCTTGCAATTCACGATGCAGGTGGTGAAAAGCAAGGTCAATTCGAGTGGGCACAATTGTGAGTTCATGGTCGTGAGGCCAACACGGGATAAGGTGTGGAGCAAGAAGACGGATATGTGGTTCAAGTTGAGCGAGAGGAAGAGGAACAAGATATACGATTTCTTGTTCCTTCAAACGCGTCCGAGGAGGGACACTGACGCCGAGTACATCCGCTAGAAGGACCACATGTTGGCACTGCTCGACAACTACCACTTCGCCTCCCGCATGAACGCGAAGACGTTTATCGAAAGGTTGAAGTCGTTGTTCTTCGTGGAGTCCGAGGAGCAGTTGAAGTTAGCCAGTTGCGCTTCCCTGATCTCCACTGACGACGAGGAAGCCATAGGTGTGGAGTTTGTCGCCAACGCGAAGGAGGAGGAGAGCGACACGGAGAGCATTGACCTGCAGTACGACCTGCCTCCGGCGGACCATGGCCGAGGGTCCTCGTCGGCCGGTCCGTCACCAAGCGCTGCAGCCCTCGTGTCACCATTGGCCAAACCGGCACCGGGCACCACGCCGATGAAGTTGCTGGAGAGACTTAGAGCTCTGGCCGCCCCCCCGCCCGCTTTGCGTCCCGGGTCCGTTGTCCCGCCCGATCATCCGTCTTGGAAGGATGACAACATCCACTTCCTGCTTGAACCACAACGTCATTCACCTGAGCAAGACTGGGGCCAGAACATGGTTTGGCATCCAGGAGTCATCCAGCCAGCGATATGAAATGGCGAGTGGGTCATGGCCGTGGCAATCCCGGGCGCGGGATGGGTGTCATTCCCACGCGAGTCGAAGTCCAACTTCCTGCACCTCGCGAGGATTTCGGTCGTCCAGAAAGTGAAGGTTGAAAATGACACTTTAGCACCCGGCGACCTGTCCTTCATTTCCATTGCCGGTCGACTGTTTGACGAGATTCAGGACAAGTGCTGGTTGGAATTGACGGAGGACTACTACGAGCTCGACACGAGTCCGTTGAAGGGCATGGTGGACTGGAAAGTGGCCCCTCCCAGTGGGCCGGACGGTGGTTCCGGGGGGGGGTCACCTGGAAGCGGAGGGGATGGGGGTGGCGACGCAAGGGGTGGCAAAGGAATCCCGCCTATGGGGGAGAGAGGGTCTCACGGCCGCAATACGACACCGGAAGGCAGCGCCAGGGTGGCGGGTTTCGCCGTCGACCGGACTCCGTCGACCGGCACCCGGCCCGAGGACACGACACACTCCGCCGACCCCCAGACTTCGTCTGTGGGCTCAGCGAAGGACACGTTGGCCGCCTTGGTTGCTCTGGGCATTCGCTCGGCCGGAAAGCCGAAGTCTGCCGGGATCCGAACTAGGTCAGGTGAGGAGCCGCCAGAGCGGTCCGGAAAGCGAAGCTGCTCGGGGCCGGGGGATCCAAGCACGGATCGAGAAATTCGCAGCATTGCGGCGCGGGACGGAGACGTTGGAACGGTGTCGCCTGCGCGGGAGCGACGATCGCAAGGATTGCAGCGGGAGGCTGCAAGTGCAGGGTCCGGCGACACGGAGACCACAAAGTCCGCCGAGATCCAAACTTCATCGAGCGGGGGGTGTCGTCCAGGGATTGTCGTGCCGTTGAGAGGGGCAGCGTGCATGGGGACGGAAGGGCGGTCCTCGCGATTCGGCACGGGTACCGCAGAAGGGGACGAGTTTCGTGGGAGGGAAGTAGGGTAGGAAACGGAGGAACAGAAGGGAGCGCAAGAAGGGGAGGAAGAAGGGGAAGAAGAGGTGGAAGGGGAGGAAGCAGGAGAAACGGAGCTAATTGATTTGTTTGAAGGAAGGGAGGGTGCCGGGTCTGGAGAGGACGAAGTGGAACACAGTGAGGACGATGCTGGATCTGGAGAGTCGTCTGACGAGTTCGGACAACTGTACGGAGAGCATCACGAGGATGATGTCGACGACGATGCCACGACAATAGAGATGGAGACACAAGTGGTCAGCAGCCTTTCCGCAGAGCCTGAAGATTAAGCGGTCCGACCACTCACGTTTGTTGTCGACTTGCAGCACCGGTTCGACGAGGCTTCCGTCGCTATCAGCCCGTTTGAAAAAAGTCGACGTATAAGCATCGACGAAGTTATCGACGGTATCCTCGGCAACCACAACGTGTCAGCCCATCCGTCCGCAACTGCCAACATCGCATCTTCTGTGGCAGCTGCCCTCGCTTCGTCGCCGCCGAAGTCTCTGGTGCTGCAGGCCACCCTTGCCGCCGAAGGGGAAGGCGAGTGCGGTGGAGGACAGCATTTGACGTCCCCAAAAAAATCGAGGTTCGGCGGTCAGGCTCTCGACGTGCTCGCTTTGCCTGTGCGAAATTCACCATCGAAGGAGCGGAGAGAGAAACAGACTGGTAAACCTTGAAGAACGCCTACGCATTCGGATGTCGCCGGATTACAGTTCGCGCTATACACGCGACGACTATCCACACTGTCTGTGCATACGGGAAGTTCCGGGTGCCGGCATGCTATAGCCAGAAGCCCTTCCTACTCGAGCTCATCAGCTTGTCTGTGACTCGGCCGGGTTGCTAGTCGAGGGCGGCGAAAACTTCGTCCAAAACCTTACACTCCATCCAAGGAAGGATCTGACCCGGCTAAGGAAGTGGCCAAGGTGCTAAGAAAGTGGCCAAGTACATGGACTGACAGTTTTCCCTTCTCGGGAGAAGTGCCGGTTTTAGTCCGTCGGGATCTGAACTTCCTTTGTCGATGCGTGATGTGGTCAGTCTCAGTGGGGATAGTGTGTTGAAAAGTCCGTCGCAGTCCGAACTTCGGGGATTGCTGGCCTACGACTTCTGTGAGTTGTGGTGGTTTTCCTTTGCAAAGTGCGGGGGGTGATAAGCTCGAATGTTGCAGTCGTTTTGTTTTCCAGTCACACAACCGCACCTAGGTGCACATGACCACCTGAGATCAGGGTCCTGTGGTTGCAGAGGTCTTGCTTGACTGTAGGCCAAGGTGCTAAGAAAGTGGCCAATACATGGACTGACAATTTTTCCTTCTCGGGAATAGTGCCGGTTTTAGTCCGCCGGGACCCGAACTTCCTTTGTCGATGCGTGATGTGGTCAGTCTCAGTGGGGCTGGTGTGTTCAAAAGTCCGCCGCAGTCCGAACTTTGCGGATTGCTGGCCTCCGGCTTCTGTGAGTTGTGGTGGTTTTCCTTTGCGAAGTGCGGGGGTGATAAGCTCGGATGTTGCAGTCATTTTGTTTTCCAGTTGCACAACCGCACCTGGGTACACATGACCACACGAGATCAGGGTCCTGTGGTCGGAAAGGTCCTGCTTGACTGTTGCGTTTGTACGAATGTATGGTTCTCATTTTTCGTTTTGTCTTTCTTCTGTTGTACAGGGGTGGTGTCGTCTTGAACACGGAGGTCCTCCAAATATCCAGAGCACATATTGCAAAAAGTCCCCGGGTTGAGTAAAAAACACAAGGATATGTTAAAGGCATCAGGGGTTGATGTCAAGATCGGGAAGAAGGAGTACACCATTGCCATTGAGGAATGTCTTTCCCTTCTTGCCCCAGACAAAGGGACATATCCATGATTTGTGAGTAGGGGTCAGGCCATGTATGAGAAGTACTTAGCAACGCGTCATGCACCGGGGGACAATGTCTAGAACTTCGTTTCTCACTACACCACGTGTCCTTTGCTCGATGTTGTGTAGTGCAGGCAACAAGTGCAGCACGCGGAAAAAGTTTCGCTGCGACGATTGTGCCTCTGAGCTTGCGGGTTTTCGATGACATTGTACGAGGCTCGGTGCCGTCTAACACTATTCTCTCTATACTGGGCGATAGTCGATTTCGGATTGCAGCAAAAGTTCTCCTCACCCTCGTGCATGTCAACGGCAGGGTGAATGATGAGGTGGTCAATTTCTATATGGCGTTGTTGGGGTCGACCGCATGTGGGTCACGTGACATCTCTTCATGCGTTCAAGTCTTCAACTTTAATTCGTTCTTCTTCAGTAAACTGCAACTTCAAGGACATAGTGGGGTGCAGAAGTGGGCTAAATACGTAGATTTGCTTCGTTACGATATTATCTTCGTTCCTGTCCACAAAGATGATGATCACTGGATCCTCGTTTCCGTCAACATGAGAGATAATGTTCTCGAAATTTTTGATTATTTTCCTCGTATTGTAGTTGATTCTAGTTTTTACCTTAGTGTTTTCGGGTTGATTGTGCAGTATTTGGAACGTCAAACATCACATAGGCGGTCGGGTAGGAATTGGAAGTCCATGGTGGGAAATGTTGTGGTGGATGGAGTTTCGAGACAAGTGGATGGAGCAAGCTGTGGTGTGTTCATGTTGATGTATGCGACGTTGTTGCAACATGGAGATCGACCGCCTTTCCGGTTCTCTTGTAAAGATATTCCGCTTCTTAGATGACAATTAGCATCATGTGTCTTAGAACCTCGTTGTCTTTGATGAATTTGATTGACTTCGAAACTTTTTTTTAAGGTGTTTCATTCGTTGATCGTTAAATTTCGTAAATCGAGACATTATTCAACTGTCCTTCTGCCAGAGGCATTGCTTTCTTTTATCGTTCCGAGTTCGCATTATCTACGACAAGCTCAATGCATGTCCTGCGTCATGTATGGGCTTTGTAATCTATGTCACGTAATGTTCCATGTTCCGAATTCTATTCAAGTTGAAGTATTGTGTTTCATGTTTCGAATTTTGTTCAACTGGAAGTGTAAACATGATTGTGAAACTGGTTGGTGGATGAATGAGAAATCTCATCTTATATGGAATTGGTCAGTGGATGCCCAAACCTTCTTTGCATAACCATTTGAAATGCGGATATTCATCGCGATGGAGCACAATTTAATCTAATTCAATCTAATTACATTGCTAATTTTGTTTACAAAAGTTCAACAACTATGGATGTCAGCAAACTTTCGCATTTGGGGCGATTGGGCGGGCATGCCTATGTACAAACACTGCAGTCAAAAATGAATTCGTAAAAAAGAGGACAGTGTCACAATATAGTTGCTGTGTCTTTCATCACATTTATGAAATTGAAGTTTGACAAGTTAGGATCACAGCACAGTTCCGCATAGGGTTCCGTTGGCGTGCTAATCGTTGTTCGTTTATGAAGTTTGACTACTATGGATCGCAACACACTTCCCCACAGGATCACCAACATGTTTTTGATGTTCAACAAGTAAGGATCCCAACACACTTCCACATTTGGGATTTCATTTATGAAGTTTCACAAGTATGGATCTCAGCACGCTTCTGCATGTGGTGGCGGGTTTTTGATGTTCAACAAGTAAGGATCCCAACCCCTGGATGGGCATGCCTACGTTGCTTAGGCAGCAGGCAAAAAATAATTCGTTAGAAAAAGGACACAGTATAATGTCCTATTTTAACGAATAACGTGTTGTATGCCCTTAGGGCATAATTAGGACATGCTCACACGAGGACTTCTCTAAATGTATCTGACAACAATTACAACGAGACTCAGATGCATATGACTGCAATTATGTCCACATCTTATAACAAACAGTCCTAGAGCCTCTTTGACACCACTTGAAAACACTCGAGTTTCAAGTGCACACTATACGAAAAATTGTGATTAATTTACACTTAAAGGGGTATGAGATCAAGTGAGTTCTGGTACAAGGACTGAAAGCCTGGACCGGCGTCTTATCTGTTGAGGGGAGGAGGTTTGGATAGCAGGCGGGTTCAGTTTTGACCCTTGGCTTTTCTGATTTCAGGGTTGACCGTAGGGAGATGGTTTTCGTATGTAGGTGTCCATGGGTTTTCCTAAAATTTTCTGAATTCTTTTAATTCTCAGATTGTTAAATGAAAAAAAAAAAAAAAGGTTGCTCTTGGCGGTCTTAAGAATGCCTTAGGATTCTGGGTACTTCTTGCAAACTCATTTTAGCCTTCTTTGATGCTGTTATATTCATGGACCTGCGTTTTTTTAATGCCAGAACGACACTGGTTGGTGCTGGGGGGTTGCCCTGTAACCTTTTAAGCCCATGCACCCATGTGACGAACCAATTCCTGTTCCGCGCGATTTTTTGCGCGACGACAATGAGGCGTCCTAAGCTGGGAAGGTTGGCCCAATTATGGGAAATGGGATCCAACTGGAAAATTGCATCGGTGTCCTTGTTTGTTCTTCTTTTTACGTCGCTTCTTTTGGATGGTTGGGGCCAGGGCTGGGCAAGTCCCGGGATGGTCGATTGAGTGGCTGGAACGCCGACGGAGGCGCAATTAATGATGGTTGACGTCGCTTCTTTCTTATGTCGGGTTTTCGGCACGGTGATCGCGCTAGAGTTTTGCTTCTTTCTTTTTGAGCGTAACTGTAATTTTGGGCAGGGCGCCCTTGTAACTGTGTCTTTCGTCTTGAGCTTCGTCTTTCCCGCCCTCTCTCTTCTTTGTTGTGTATAGTTGGCCCACGACTGCATGATCGGATCGATGGATGGAGAGTGCCTACATCCCCCCTCCACGCCTCGATCTGGCCATGCAGAACGTAGGCACTCCCTCCCCTTCTCTCTCTCTAAGTCCTTGCAATTCCGTGTTCTTCGCGCATGCATGCACGCTATAAATTTCGGTTGCGCGATTAGATACCTCTCTTAAAAAGGTTGTTGGAAGCTCGGGGTAGCGCGATCAGTGAGGGTCGGCTCACGAGCGAAGCAAGAGGTGAGTTGAAGTGGGAGTTGGGTGACTCGATGAGCTGGTGCTAAATGTGCGGGGTTGACGCGTGGGGCTACGACGGACTGTAGCGCGCGGGCGAACCCGACGGGCACAGGAGGACTAAGCGGGGTGACAACTTCCTGGGTTGGTGTGTGACGACGGACTCTCCGCATCGGAGAGAGAGAGAGAGAGAGAGAGAGAGAGAGTTGAGACTGTCTCTTATACACATCTAGATGTGTATAAGAGACAGGCCTCGCATTGGACTCTCGTTGTTTTCGTGCCGCGGCAGCACAACCTGTCGTTTCTCGCCAGCATGCACCATCTATCTTTCGTCAAGCTGTTGGAAGNGGAGAGAGAGAGAGAGAGAGAGAGAGAGAGAGAGAGAGAGAGAGAGAGAGAGAGAGAGAGAGAGAGAGAGAGTTGAGATGGATGGACATGGGATTGCAATTTTCTTTGTGTTTCTCAATCTTGTATATAAGTTTTGATCTCGGCTTCGGGCGATCTGCCCTTATTTTTCGATTCGACATTTTTTCTGGCTTCCGCCTTTGACTAACGCTTTTCTCGTTTTTCGATCCTTTTTTTTTTTTTTTTTTTTTACGATCAATGGATGGATTCTGCCCATGGGATGGTTGAATGATATGACTCGTTGTTTTTCTTTTTGCTCGTCCTTACAATATCTGAGGTATGAGTAGGCCATGATGCGATGTCACTCTGCATAATCCAGGGATGTTGTTGGGTTGCGGGATCACTGAATGGTTAGATGATTATTTATACCACGTGGCGATTTTGCACGCATGACTGAAACCTCAGTTTTGCACGAAAATCAGCCAACAGGCCCGTGTACGATTGAACCCCTCGTGTGTGCATGTGTAAGTGTGATCTGATCAACGAGGCCTAAACGTGTTCACACGCGGGCGATTCGCGATCACTGATGAAGTTGGCACCTCCAGTATTGGGATAAGTGCGAAATCTTCCCTCGTGCGTGAATTTGAGCCGGTAGGAATTTCCGCCACCATACCTGGAAATTCCCTTGTCAATCGAAGCACGATCCGATGCGTGCGGAGGGTTTCCACTACGCTTCAGCTAGCGATCCGTTGGAATGACAAGATGTCGTACATCACGGACCAAGAGAGATTGCAGGATCCAGAGTACCGAGAATACTGAGAGGGAGAACAACTTAGGCTGCGGGGGAATTTGACAAATCTGGAATTCCCCTGTCTAACCGAGAACGACGGACTGTGTGCCAGGGACTTTCACCGCACCATAACCAACGACCCGAGGGGCCCCGACTACCCGACTACTTATAACACGCAATATTTCATATCCCCCGGCTTCGTCGTTATCGCTACTAATTTCCCTCCCTTCCATCTCCTCCTCCCATACCACCAACTCACGGTGGTACCATGGAATTCCATAGCCCCGTACTGGCCCCACACMCCGCGCAGAAATTGCAGACGGCGCGACAACCGCCGAGCCTCTGGAATTACGGAGCCTAACCATAACGTGCGACATCAATCACCACGTGTCCACACTCGGAGGTGTGGCCCACAGGAATCACAACCCTCTCGAATGAACCTCTCCCAAACCGCCATCACTGGAACGGGCGGATCGAACGACACAAGAAGCACCGCGCATGCCATCTGCCTTATGTTGCACGACCTCGACCGCCATCAGGCCAAAAGTAACCCATCCCTTAGCCTCATTGCACCTATGCCCATGGAACCTTGCCACAGGAGATCTCAGTTCTGACTTGGGACTCCACCCCCAATTTCCCAAAAATCCTTGTCACACCCCTTTTCGCACTTCCAGGCCCACATCGCACTCCGGTCAGGAAGTCGTGTCGAGCGTGAGGTTGGTATCAGAGCCGGCACGTGGCAGGGTTATAGGATCCATAGGACGATAACTGAGATCAAAGCGATCTGGCTAACAGGGGGCGACCTCGACCCCGGAACGCGCATCGACGCGACCCCGTCGTTACAAGAAGCCGGTCGGCGGCTCGACGGGCAGCCAACATGAACGCTAATCAACAAAACCCGAACCCACAACAAAACCCCAATCAACAGCTAAATCCTAATCAACCCGCACCCCGAGCGCGGGCACCTGTGACTCCACCCGATCTTTATCTGTTCGATCCTGCTCACCACCTTGTTGGAGCATGGCTGGCCACGCTCTGGGCTCATCAGTACGACGACAACGAAGCACAGATAAATATGCCCGCTCGTTTGGGGGGAGACGCTCATCAGTGGTTTAACACCTATGTATGGGTTGATCTTCCGATATTCGAGCGAGATTTTCTGAACCGATTCAATTACATCCACCCTGAACAGACCCTTTTCATGATTAAAGATCGAGTTAAAAAAACCCTCGAGTCCGTCACTGAGAACCGAAATCGATTCTATGGAATATTTGTAAAGACTGAGCGAGGTGAACAGGTGAGAAGAGACCTGTTTATTGATGGACTTTGCAGCCGAGCAATGAGGGCAAAACTGCGAAAACAGTTACCCCCCATCAAACACACGCTGCAACAAATCATGGCTGTCGCCGAAGAAATGAAACGAAAGTTCGCCGCGAGTTTACTAGAAGGGAGAGGATTATCCTAGGGAAGGAAACTCGTTCGAATTGAAGAGGGCCAAAGCTGAGCTGGCGGCATTATAGAATAAGTTTGAAAATATGGGGTTCGTGTCTGGCCCGGTCACCTATCTGGAACAAATCACCCCCAAACGACCAGCCCCGAGTATGATCCCGAGCATGCCGATCCCTGTGATGACCGCGCCCCCACCACCGACAGAAAACCCTGCACGATGGAATGAATCAACCGCCTTATTAGAACTGACCAAGACACTAGTCAATTTGATCCAGGAAAGCAAGAAAGAACAACAGGGGCACAATGCCCGAATAGAAGCAATGATGCGATCAATGCGACCGATAGCAATACGAGCCGCCCCGATGCAGCAAGGGCCGGCCCAGCACCCGCTCTCGGAGGAGCCGCTGGTAACCTGAACCCCGCAACCACGAGTCGGGGCCGCACCGGTAGCAACAACCCCGATTGCTAATGGACCGGGCGAGTAGCGGCGCTAATGGAAAAGATGGAAGGAGGCGGATGCACATTGGCTACAACGGAAGAAGTCGCTGAACTTATCCCATTGGACTAGTACGTAAACCTTGGCTACCCAGGTCTGGGAATGATCGGAACAGTCAGGCCGACACCCGAACAGAGGGAAATGGCGGAGTGGCGACTGTCTTCAGGGGAAATGGAGACGAGAGGACCCACTTCCGTCATCGGGGAAATCGATGTCTTGAACATCGTTCGGGCATTAGATCATCGAATCCCTCTCCCAATCGGTCATCTATTGTCGATATCAGAACAAGCCAACGAACGCATGTTGCAACACTGCAAGGCGAATCGAAAGCGATTCGCCCTTGCTCGAACAACAAATACGAAAGGAAAGAGTCTAGCAGCAGACGAACCCGTCACTGACACGTCAGACCCGATACGCTTGAGATTGATCCAAAAAGATGACCACTTCCTGCGGATTAAGGCGATTCCGTGGAAATCCGCAGAATGTGACATCGAAGTATGGGGAGTCCCGTACAACGCCATCATCGATTCCGGAGCAACTGTCCTAGCCATCTCACTACGGGTAGTCGAACGGGCAGGAAGAAAGAAAGATCTGATCATGCTTACGGAAAAAGATCCACTCGTTTCAGCAGATGAAGAGAAGATTAAGACAGTAGGGCGAATGAACAACGTCGCTTTTCGATTAGGAAAGGTGCATGCCATGGGAGACTTACGACGTTCTCTTGGGCCTGCTTGCTTTGATGGCCTTGCGAGCCAATCTGGATTTCGAGAAACAATCGATCATCCTCCGGAATACAGGCGGGAAACCCTACAGCATACCTATGAGACTAACCCTTCGAACTACCGCTAACATAGCTCCGCGGGTTTCTTAGATAATGGCGGGAACTCTCCGTGTGATCACCTGGGAAAACTCCGCGGACGATGAGCAATCATTGAATTATGGAATTGGCGCAACAGCGCATCCGTTACCCTGCGCAAAGAGTCAGCGCGAAAACTTTGAGCCTGACTAGTCGGAACTTGCAGAGAACGCAGACGATGATTCTGGGAGAACCTGTACAGATCTCGCGGATGGTCGATTCTTTGGAACCCCCTAGAACCCTGTACGAAGGTATCTCTCCTCTCCTTGCACGCTACAACGACAAAAGACACTTTGCGACATTACGAGCCTCCCCGGACCCCCGATCTCTTTTGGCACCTGTAAAAGAAACACGATTGTTACGCTTAGGAGTGGAAGCCAGCTCTTTGGAACCCCCTGAGCGCCTCGAGACTTGATCTAATGGACTCGGGATCAAAATCGCAACGAAACCTGTGCCATGGCAAGATATTCGCGACGGAGTAACCCCGGAGGAACACGTGGCCATTCGAGAGCAGAAGCCCAAATGATGGCCACGGTATTCTCTTGGCGATCATATAACTCGTTTATTTCCACACCCCCGCCTGAAACCACTAAGCGGGTAAGTACGAAACAAATCGATGTACGGATATGGAATCAATCGTATGAATTGCACGTGCCCCACTACGTACCTGATGAGATCCATCACCCAATCGCGGATATTCTAAAAGAATATCAGGGAGCGATTAGCGTGACTGATATAGACATTGGACTATCGTTAGTCATACAACATGAAATTCAAACCGGAAACCATCCTCCCATCCACTGTAAACCCTACAGGTATTCCCTGGTGGAACGGAAGACAGCCCTCCAGCGGATTCGAGAGTTCGAAGCTAACGGATGGATCGAGCCCGCTTTTGGGCCATGGTCATTCCCGATAGTGTTAGTACCGAAGAAGAATGGGTCGATTCGCATCTGCATCGATTATCGCAAACTAAATGATATCACGATCAAAGATGTGTATCCCCTTCCTCGGATTGATGATCTGCTGAATGCGATTGGGTGTGCTAATTATTTTAGTAAAGTTGATATTCGTCACGACTTTCATCATATCCGGGTGAAGGAGGAGGATCGACAGAAAACAGCCTTCGTACTATTTGAAGGCACGTGGCAGTGGGTCCGGTGCCCGATGGGGATTTGTAATGCGCCTGCTACGTTTCAACGGGCTATGAACGTGACCTTCCAGAAGTTCGTCAACAAGAAGCGGCTAACTCAGGGAATGATCAACTTTTGCGTCATCGTGTACATGGACGACATTCAGGTCTACTCAGAGACCTATCATGGACACGTGCAGCACATTGAGTGGACGCTGGAAGCTCTGAGAGACACTGGGTTCAAGGTCGCGTTAGAGAAGAGTGAATTTCTCCTCTCGGAGATCTCGTTCCTGGGCTACGTGGTGACACGGAGAGGACTGCGGGCGGATTCGAGGAAGGTCACGGCGGTGAAAGACACCCCTGTTCCCACGTCATTGACGCAGGTTCGAGCTTTTCAGGGACCGGCGTCATACTATCGTCGATTCATCAAGGGGTTCGCCCCGATTGCGCGGCCCCTAACGAACTTGTTACGAAAGGACCAGCCTCTCAGTTGGGACGCCGAGTGCGAACAGGCCTTCGCCACCCTCAAGGACGTCGTGGCTACAACACCTATTTTGATCCGGTCGGACCCTACGAAGCAGTTCATTCTCATTACGGACTGGCAACCGGAGGCGATTTCTGCTATCCTAGTGCAGAAAGGGAACGACGGTCGTGAACACGTCATCGAGTACGCATCTCGAACGGTGCCAGACGAACGAAAGAATGATTCGGCCCCGCAGGGCGAATGCTCTGTGGTGGTTTGGGGAGTCCTGCACTTCCATCCGTATCTTTACGGACATAAGTTTCTTCTGGTGACTGATCACGAGCCGCCGCTGGCTCTGAAGAGGCTCACTAACTACAGAGGCATGATTGGGCGTTGGGCAGTGACCCTGCAGGCCGCTGGAGTACGACTTCGATATCGTCCATCGGAAAACGGAGAGGCATGGAAACGCGGACGGGTGGACATGTTTGCATCGACCAGCTAAGGTTCCAGGAGGCGAAAAGAAATCATCACGTGGAAGGAACCGGAATCAACGAACGGACCCAAGTACGGACAAGTGGCAGTTCTCCCACGTGGCAAGAAGCAGGCCCGTGGCAATGGGTGACGGAGGTAATCTTGCAACTCCTCTCTCTCCCCTCTCGTCCTCATCCCTTTTTTCTCTACTAGATATTTTTTTTATTTTTGCGAAGCGATTTCACACGTTTACTCTGTCCCTATGCATCCTAGTGGGGAAGGTTATGTCGAATGGGTAGACTATCGACAGTGTGTCACAAGATCCCATGGCTCTTGCCTTCAGTATCGAAATGGCAACAAGCCTTGGTTGTGCCCCTTGTGTCGGGTCGATAAGATCCCGACCGAGGCTCGATTTCTCGACGCTACGTCAAAAGGGTTAGAAAAGACCCGAAAATTTAGAAGGGTCGAGGTATGGACGAATATTGCTTTAATCGCCACCTTGGTAGGTAACCCCCTCCAGGACTTCACTAAGGAGGATCGGAGGAGGGCCAATGAAAGGGCTCGGGCCTATCGCTGGAACGAGGGTCGGTTAGAAAAACGGAAGACAGATGGTAGTGGGATTTGGATGGTAGTGCCGCACCCGTTCATGAGGTATGACTGTGTTAAGACGACGCATGAGGAAACTGCAGCCCATTTTGTCGTCCGAATTACGGAGGCGGCAATCGACAAAAATGAGTGGTATTGGTCAAATATTCGCGACGATGTTAAATTCATCGTCCAGAATTGTCAGGTCTGCGCTGCTGACAAGGTGCCGATTCAGTTGCCGAGATCGATAGTGTCGACGATGGTTAAAAGGCCATTTTTGAGGGTTAGTATGGATACTACCGATATTGTGGTGCCCCCTGGACCGAATAGCAATGAATATTCAATCCTACTGGTATTCGTAGACCACTTTTCAAAATGGATCGAGGCATATCCGTGTTGTACGCGATAGGCGTCTGAAATCGCGCGATACGTCAACCGTTTTCTCAGAATGCACCAGGATACAAAGGAGATCCTGACCGATAATGGGGCGGAATTTAGAGGGGAAGTTTTGAGGAATCTGGTCATACATGGCGTCGCCATTCGGAACACTATTCCCCACATGTCACAGTCTAACGAGCTAGTGGAAAACGCGAATCGAGTGATAAAGACTGCACTGCGACGAAATATCGCGGCACGGGACCCGGGACCCTGGCCCGATATCGTAGATCACATCCTCGCAGTCCATCGGGGTACGCCTCATGAATCGTCGGGTCTAACCCTCTTTCAATTACGAACCAATAGTGTGGCTTGTGTTTCGATACCGAGCCTCCCAGACGAATCTTCGTTGAACCGATGGCCCACAAGGGCCACGGTTCGGGACAAGGCCAAGCGACACCTAGAGCTGATGGAGCGGTCCCTTCCCCGATTAGCCCGAAAACGCCAGCGGATGACTGAGTTGGCCCAAGGCCGACAAGTCCGTAGCTACGAGGCCCGAAGTGGGAATGCGGGACCACGACCCCAGTATCAGTTACAGGACATCGTGCAGGTGAGGAAATGTGCTCGCCAGGGTAAGCTAGCGCCACGATTCTTCGGGCGATTTCGCATGGTTGAACTCGGTCCGAACGGAGTGAACACGGTGCGGCTCGTACCCGAGGTCTCCGACAGCCAATCAGCTCGCCCGATCACTCGCCACGTGTACTATCTACAGCCTCTCCCTTCCTCTGCATCTCCACCGTCGTCCGCCCCCTCCTCCAGTACGGGGGAGGACGACGCCTGCTTATCGCCCTCTCCTTCTCTGTCTCGCTCCCCTACAGACACTCTGTCCTCGTCGCCATCGCCATGAGTTTTTCCACCGAGCAAGTTCTTGGTGAGCACATGCTGGGGCCACGTGGCGATATTTCGGCGATCACCCAAGTCCATCATCCACGGATCAGTCCGGATCTTCTCCGATTTGCGCAGTTCTTCAGCACCACTGGGGTGTACGCAGCGGCAGAGTTTTGTTTTGCGGCCCATAGCCAGACACTCGTGTTGGCCGAGGCATCGGCTTATCGACGGCTTTTGGCGCCAGGATCAGCCATGTGTCTACCATCGTCGTCTTCAGCAGGGACATCAGCACGGTGGATCCTACAAGGCATACGACCATCCGGACCTCGCTAAGGGAGTGGGGTGAACAGTTAGCACAGGTGTGGAGTCGATGGCTTGCGGGGCACGACGACAACCTCGTCGTCACCAACAACATCGACGTCGGCGGGCTCCGCACGTTCCGACACGAGCCGGCGGTAGCGTTGCCGGAGCTCGTCCCTTTTTTGCGCCCTCAATGAACCGGTCTCAGTTGTCAACCTTTGCCCTCCCCTCTCTCTTCCCCACTTTCTGGCAGTCTGCTCTCCATCCCCGTCTTTCTCTCTGTATCCAGCCACTCGCCGTTCCTCTCATCGAGCAGAGACTTTGGGAGTTGTGGTGTGAGCGGTACCTCGCTCTTTCGTTGTGCCTGGTGGAAGTGGAGCTGACGTGGACGCGGGATAGTGACCATCGCATCGCGAGAGAGAGCGTGGAGCTGCTAATCATCCAGGCTGGAGAACGGAGGTCGAAGGGGATCTCCTCGGGTTCGTTTTCGGAGCAGTGGAACCCAGCCATCAGCAATTGATTGTGTGGGAGCTCTCGGTCCCCTTTGTGCAGCTTATCGATGATCTCCCCCTCGATATCATATCGCAGTGCGACGAAAGCCCGGTGCCACACGTCCTCCCGCGAAGGTTGACGCCATATCTGCAGTGGTCGGCCTGCTTGGAGGAGCGGGGAGGAGGTGGCAGTGATCCGTCGCGATCAGAATACCTCAATCCCGAGGGGATAATGGACATCTTCTTCTTCCAGCCCCGGGCGGTGTCGGAAGACGAAGTGATAGCGGTAGAGGAGGAAGAAGAAGAGGACGAGGAGGAAGAAACCCCGGAGGAAGGAAGCTACAACGAGCACAGCGAAGAGGAGTCGGGCAGCGAAGAAGAAGAAGAAGAGGAACAAGAAGAGGAAGAGGAGGAGTCTGAGTGGGATAGTCTGGGTGAGGAGGTGGACCGCGCGGAGGTCCAGGAAGAAGATCCCGAGGTGGTAGCATGGTGGAGAGAAGAAATCGCGGTCGGGAAGCAGCCGCAAGAGTACGCGAGCGGCGTGGATCTGCCGATCCCGAACGACCCGACCAAGGATCCCAAGCCGCCCAAGAACGACGATGGGGACCTACTGCCGAGACTTCGAGCGCACCGCCGCGGAGACAACGGAGCCGATCCCCCTCCCCACCCCCCCGTCCCCTAGTTCGCACACGTACCGATGCGGGGCATCGGGCTTCGTCCCCGGTCGTTTTCCCGTCGTCCCCTTGATTACCTCACCCTTCACCAGATCACCATCCCGATCTCCTTCCCCCACAACTCCTTCCCCACCGACACCTTTCGTCACTTCTACGCTACCCGCCTCACTGTCACAGTACACCCCCACCCCTCTACTCGCCGTACTCGGTGTGCCACCCCTGTCTTTTGCCTCCACGTCCTTCTCTTTAGTGCCGCGTGGCGCGGCGACAATATAATCGAGGTCTATTGCACGATCACGGGGACTATCCCCGCGTGCGAAGACCACGATCGGTTCTGCTCGGCCCTCGTCCGCACCTTCGCAACCCTCTACCTCGACTATCTCGCGTCTCTCCCCCACAGTGGTACCCGTTTCCCTCGATTCCATCGAATCATCCGCTACCAGGAGCTTCCGGTAATGGTAGCAGGGATGGAACGCTTCCTACCCCCGCTTCCAACCAACCCCCCCCCTCCCCATGCCCCCATGTACGGCCTTCCCTTTCCTCTTCCCGCTGGTCACTGATGCACAGTTGCATGGCACGTGTCACGGCAATGACCCAAATGATCTCCTCCTTTGAAAGAAGAGAGCCCTTTCTGAGGAACTTGTAGGATAGAGCCTACGTATGCCACCCTGAATGACTTCCACACTCTTATCGTACGGTAAGTGGCAACGAAGAGAGCTCCACGTGTCGATCGATTAGAGTGATCGACACGTGTCATGATGACGTAGCAAGCAGAAGCTTGCTTAAGATTGGAACCCCCTGGGTGTCACATATGTGACAAACCAATTCCTGTTCGGCGTGATTTTCGGTGCGACAACAATGAGGGGTCTTGAACTGGGAAGGTTGGGCCAATTATGGGAAATGGGATCCAACGGGAAAATTGCATCGGTGTCCTTGTTTGTTCTTCTTTTTACGTCGCTTCTTTCGAATGGCTAAGGCCAGAGCTGCGCAAGTCCCGGGATGGTTGATTGAGTGGCTGGCGCGCCGACTGGGGCGCAATTAAAAATGGTTGACGTCTTTTCTTTCTGCTGTCGGGTTTTCGGCACGGTGATCGCGCGGGAGTTTTGCTTCTTTCTTTTTAAATTTCGTTTTCGAATCTTGTCGATCCCTCGATGGGTCTCTGAATTTCGGACTTTCTTTTCGGGATTTGTGCTTTATTAAAGTTCTTTTTGCATTTTTGCATTAGATAGGAATTTAGGAATTTAGGAATTTAGGAATTCGGAATTTCTTTTGTCGCGCGGTGCTTTTTGCTCACGTGTTTCTTTTTGCGGCTGCAACGGAGCTCTGATTAGTCGGCGCCCTTAATCTTGCCTGCAGTGTCGTACCCCCGTTCACCGTTCACGGAGTTTGTGAACGGAGCCGGTCATAGAGTTCACGGAGTTCACGACAGGGGAGTTCATGGAGTTCACGGAGAGCGGTATTTTTTTTTACTTTTTTTTTTTGGCTGGGTGGGTATGTTTTATTTTTTATAGGAAGGTGGGGGACATTGAAGAGTAACTCCCTATAAGTTTTTCCAAAAAAAAAAATCACGAATAATATTTTTTTTTAATTAAAAACGAAAGAAAATAAAATCAACTAGCCACAATAAGCATTTTCTTTTGCTATTTTGTAGATCATTTCGATTTTTTTTTTTTTTTCAATGTCACCACGCTATGGGCTTGAGGCGAATGTGCTAGGGGGAGCCCAAAAGAAAGAAAGAAAGGAAAAAAAAAAAAAAAAAAAAAGACACCACTCTTTAGTAGGTCGGCCCGTTCACTGTGAACGGTCGTTCACTAAAAAAACACCAAATAAACGGCCAGTCACGTTCAAGTGAACGGTGCCAGTCACGTTCACGGGTCCGGCACTGCTTGCGTGTAACTGTAATTTTGGGCAGGGCGCCCTTGTAAACTGTATCGTTCTTCTTGAGCTTCGTCTTTCCCGCCCTCTGTCTTCTTTGATGTGTCTAGTTGGCCCGCGGGCTGCATGATCAGATCGATGAGTGGAGAGTGGCTACGTCCCCCCCCCACGCCGCGATCTCGCCATGCAAATCGTAGGCACTACCTCCCCTTCTCTCTTTCAAAGTCCTTGCAATTCCGTGTTCTTCATGCACGCATGCACGCTATAAATTTCGGCTGTGCGATTAGATACCTCTCTTAAAAAGGTTGCTGGAAGCTCGGGGTAGCGCGATCAGTGAGGGTTGGCTCACGAGCGAAGTAAGTGGTGAGTTGAAGTGGGAGTTGGGCGACCCAACGAGCTGGTGCGGAATGTGCGAGGTTGACACGTGGGGCTACGACGGACTGTAGCGCGCGGGCGAACCCGACGGGCTGTGTTGCCGCGCGTTCGTTGAACGCGGGTTCCATGTTCAGTTTTTGAACGCATTGAATGCGCGTTCAAAGAACGCGGGTGCACGCTCTGAACGCGAACGCGCAGAGCGCCACCCATGCCGGGAGGCCCGTCGGGGGCGCTGGGGAGCGGCGGCGGTGCTTGGGGGGGCTGTGGGCAATGTGGGCAGTGTGGGAAGCGGC